GGGCCCGCGCGCAGGGCCGGGTCTTCCCCCCCCTGCCCAGGTGACCAGAGCATCGCCTCCCAGGCGCCAGGCTTTTGTCTGCAGACAAGGAGCGAGATCCCTGCTGTGAGAGATTCAACAGCAGCCTCTCAGGCTGGCTGAGACAGATCTCTGGAGAGGGGCACCGACGGGGGCATTTCTGCCACAATGTGTCCTTGCGGACAACCCACTGTGATGGACACTTCTCCCCTGGAACACACACACTGAGAATCAGCTTCCCTCATCCCCCATCGCTCCTGCGCTGGAGACAGAGGGATTTCATGCCCACCTTGTTCCTTCAACTTCTATCTGGGGACAGAAGCTAGGATCTTGTCCCCAGTACTGAGAGGTGGGCAAGAGCCAGGAACAGCAGAAGCAGGCAGACAAGAGACAGCCTCAAAGTTGGCTCAATACAGTAATAGCTGCTGTGGGGTGGGGAAGTGTTTTTTTTTTTTCCTCCCCTGAAAGGTTAGAGTGTTTAAACAATTTTTCAATTTTCAGTCTGAATAATGGCAAACTCCTGGGCATTTTAATCAACTCAAAACCTCAGTTCATTCTGTGTTTGGGTCAGTCAAAGATTTCCACATCTTGAAAGTATTCTGTTTGAATTTTTACCTGTTTTAACTTTCTATTTCCTAGTCCTCATTAATTTGCAATATAACATCACACTCCGAAGGGCAAATCATCCCCCACCCAACTTTTTTTTTTTTTTGTGGGTAATATCAAAACCTTTCATTTGAATAAGGTTGCAGCATTCTTTTTCCGTGCATTACTTTGAATGTTAGAAGTTTGTGGGCATAATTCTGCGCCTCTCACACAGAACCACGTGTGGCCAAAAAACTATGGTACTAAGGGGGACCCATGTGCAGCCCTGAGCCACCCTGTGCCTGCTGCAGACTCGCTTGTTCATGGTAAACAGCTGCAGCAGCACCAGCGGCAGCAGAGAAGATGTGTGCTTGTTGCAGGGGGAAAAACAGCCTCTCCCCTTCACCGGTGTGCGGTGCTTCCTGCAGTACCTGCTGGGAGCCCGTGCGCTTGGCCTGCACAGTGTTGGTGGTGGTGTGGAGGCGCCGCAGGGTGCATGGGCTCCAGGCTGCTGTGGGGTAGGGGCAGGTGCTGACCATCTCAGGGGGGAGTACGCGGGGGGCTCCCATGCATACACCACCATACCCACAAACCTTCCCTTGCAAACACCACAACCACATCCTCCTATATATACAATCACAAACCCAACAAACACTGCACTCATCCACACCCCCATACCCTTCCCACCATGTACACCCCCACAAACATCTGCGTTCCTCTGCAGGGAGCCCCACTCATTACTACTCGCACACACCCCACCCCACACATGCACTCACCACCCGCATGCACACCCAACCCTCCCAGACACACCCTCGACCACCCTTCCCCTCCACACCCCCAGAAATGCCATACCCACCCACATATACCCCCACACCCTCCCCCACACCCCACATCCACATATCCACCCCCCCCAAAGCCCTACCCAAACCCCATGTCCACTCACCTGTACCTACCCACACCCCTCCACAACCCCATAATATACAGATGTAAGACTTCATTTTGAGCTATTATGCAATCACCTCTATATACACAATGCAAACACACAGAAATCAGGACAACAATTTCTTTTAAAAATAAAATTAAAATATGTTATTGTGGATGTTTAATTGTAAGTATATAGTTTGTTTGTTTTTTCTAGTTCCAAGATGGCAAACCCACTTCCGAAAAGGAGCACTTCTGGGGCAAGCAGAGGGTCTTTGGGTAGAAAAGCTCAGCCTTTAGGGGGTAGGACTTCCATCACAAGATGGTGACCAGGAGTGGGGCTACTCTTACAGCTCTTAATAGCTCACCAAACTCATTAAGAGGCCTTCCAGCCAAAATAATTGTTCGCTGATGCTCTGAAGTATTTCTCTGTCAGCCTGTGAACATGCTAGAGAACAGGAGATGCAAATGAAATGGATCTAATCTCAACAGATTAGGAAGCTGGGCTGAAGCTAAAAAGATGAAGTTCAATGCTGAGAAATGCAAGCTGCTACACTTTGGGAGGAATAATCAAAAACACAAATATAAAATGGGTGACACCTGGGTGGATGGTAACACTATGCAGAAGGATTTGGGAATCTTGGGAGATCATAGGCGCAGTATGAGTCTTCAGTGTGATGCAGCTTCCCAGAAGGCAAACACGGTTTTGGGATGCACCTATAGAAGCAGTAGGTGCGAGACATGGGAAGTGATAGTGTCTTTACTTGTCACTGGTTTGGCCTCATGTAGGCTACTGTGTGCAGTTTTGAGATCCGTGCTTTAAAAAGGATGTGGAGAAGTTAAAGAAGGTCCAGAGCTCAGGGTCAAAGTTGATAAAGAGGATGGAAAGCAAGTCGTATGTGGAGAGGCTAAACTAGCTAGGCATGTTCAGCTTGTAGAAAAGGCATTTAAGAGGGGACATGAAAGCAGTTTTCAAATACCTGAAAGGCTGCCATAAAGAAGAGGGAAAGCACCTTTTCTCTCTCACTGCAAAGAGTAGGATCAGACCAATGACTTGAAGTTGCAGCACAGTAGTTTTAGAATGGATATAAGTCTTACCTGAGCATATACCTCCTGCTCTCCCATCATTTACCTGTATCACGAGGCTGTTCCTCTGGAGTTCCTGGAAGGCATTGTGGCGGGCCAGTAGGGGGCGCTCCTGCGTTGAGCCGCCCACCTCCCTGCGCCCGACCACCTTCCAGGCTCCGAGTGCCTCCCTTAGGGTGCCTCCCGTCTGGCCGACCCCTTCCCGGAGCACACCCGCTAGCCTGGGGTTCCCGCTGCCACCATCCAAGGCTCTGGACTC